AAAGTTATGTAATTGAATTAATAATACGAAAATGCAAGTTGTGCATGAAAGGGTGAAGCCAACAACGACCATAAGAGTTAGAATCATTATGACCATCATGACTAGATTCATCAACCGAGTCGACATACATATACCTATATATATATATATATATAGCTGTACATTTTATGTGACTGACGTGCATACAAACGTCTGCAACGATGCAGGCATTGTGACTAGGACTTGCGATCGCGGCGTGCGATAGGCAGCAGCTTACCTTGAACAACTCTGCCCTGCCTGTCTTCCTGGAGAGAGTTTTGAATCGCTGCAGGCACGTCGCGTCGGTTCGGTAGCCGAATAACGACGCTATCATCGACCACTTTGCTGCGGGAAACCGACAATCAACAAAGCTGTAATTATACGAACGGTCACCCACTGTTATCACTAATTACACGGTGGATCTCACACACGATAGCTGAGAGGTGATATCGTTATCTATGTAAATGTCTGCGTTGACAATTTCGACAATTTGCGATTACCGCCGCAGCCGTGAAACATCACGGATTTGTTGCGCAACAGCCACTTACGACGGGGTCACGCATAGAGTTCGCTTTTTCATCTGCCGTGAAGAATGTACATGTGAATGCCACTGTCGCTGTATATACTCACTTCCATATTTCTGCACTAGCTGGCACAGAAGTTTGTCTTCATCTACGGTCCAGCAACCAACCTTTATGTTTTCGTCAAGGCTGTTGACGTACCTGAGTATTCAGAAAGGAAAGACGCGACTATCGGCAAGATCATTCATAGACTGACGGTTAACGTATATTAATACATGGTAATAGAATTTTTTGGCAAACTTCCAGGTGCAATGGATGTGATAAAGATCAAGAGCGATAAACTTGTCACAGATATGGGCTGTGGCCAAATTCTAATAACATGTGTCTTGATGCTATCTATGCTTCAGCCCCTCGCTCTCACGAATATTGGAGATGGCCTTCAGCCCCTCGCTCTCACGAATATTGGAGATGGCCTTCAGCCCCTCGCTCTCACGAATCCTGGAGATGGCCTTCTGAACCTCCGCCTCCTCAGTCATCTCACCCTATCAACGTACGCGAATATTCAACGTCAATCGTTCAGCGTTGACCCCGTAGCCGTCGTGGCATCAAATTATAAGCTAGTCAAATCTACATGTAGTAGTGCAGGGGATATGTTAGCATGATATTATCAGGATATATCTATATATTATACACTTCTGATATTATATAATATAATGTACATAAATTATATCATACAATGCACTGCAATAATGAATATATTTATATACATATAGCATCAGGGGTAAATAATGTCAAACAGAGACCTCTTTGAGATAATTTATCCCTGATACCATATATGACCAGAGCACGTAATTAAAACCTATTCATGTGTAACCAGCATATGAGAACAATACATCTTCAGTATAGTCTATATTTTCTTGCATGAGTAACCTACGTGACAAAACTAAACACATCAAGGCTCAGAGCCCACTAAAATATTTGCTTTATTCGTTTGTAGTGATTGGCAACTTTTTTTATTTCTGGTGACAACATCAAACATGCCAGATATCATGGAATTACCAGCAACGTTATCAAACATGCCATATATCGTCAGGGGTTAATAAGGACACAAATTCGTCATTATTAAATTGACTACGTCACAAATTTTCTATGGTGTATATTTTTTTTAATTTTGTTGCCATTTTTTTACATTGAAAGTAAGTACTATTGGGACTAAATGTATTGTCAAATTCTTACATGATAAGATTGTTTCTCAACCAGTTAAAAATCCAAAAAACCTGGACGATTTGATATTATTATCCTGACATTAATTGTTTGCTATGGGATATGTATGAGTCACGAGTGTATGTTTACATCGAACAATATAGTAAAATAGAAAGTATAATGCAGCAATTTAACCATAAAAATTTAACAGAATTACTTACATTTTGTGAAAAAGTGGAAATATTTTTTTTTACTTTTACTATTTACGGTGACGTAATCACTTTAACCCCTGATATCGTGGAGTCACAGGCCCATAATACAACACTCTCGATATCGCAGAATTACCAACGAAAAAATCGCTCGTAGGATCTTCCCCGGGAGGAAAAACGAAAAGATCGCAGACGATAATTTTGTCGGTCGCTTCGACGATCGTTTCGATCACCGAGCGTGTCCACGGCTCGCCACCCGAGACAAATCAATCAATATAATCGATAATACAATCAATAATACAATCAATACTACAATCAATAATACAATCAATAATCAATTAACATCAGTAATACAATCGCCGCTGCCGCCTACCTTATCCGTCTCCTCCTCCCCCGCCGCTCGCACGCGCTTATAGATCGTCTGCAGATACCGCTGCAGACGCATGCGGCGATGCGTCGTGCCAACGGCGCAGCGCGACTGCGCCAGCGCCATCTTGCGGCCGACGGGCGGCGGCCTCGCGCTCTCGAGGACCTCGCGCGCCCGCTGCAGCTTCACCTTCTCCAGCTGCTGCTGCTCGCTGCCAGCCAGCAGCTCATACATCTGTGTCGCGCGCAAAGAGAAAGTGAGTGAGTGAGTGAGTGAGTGAGTGAGTGAGTGAGTGAGTGAGTGTGTGACGTTGAGTGGTTAGCTAGTACCTTCTACTAGACCTAGTCGTGCCGGAGGGGGGGGGACCCATGTTACAGTTAACACTTATAGACGAACGCTCGCGGCACACAGTAAGTGAGCGAGTTAGTGAGTGACTGACCGACATACCAACCGACCGACTGACCGACCGACTGACTAATCAACCGAGTTCAGGGTCTCGACTAAGTGAATGAGTGAGGGAGCAAGCAAGTGCATGATAAATAAGTAAAAAGTTATGTAATTGAATTAATAATACGAAAATGCAAGTTGTGCATGAAAGGGTGAAGCCAACAACGACCATAAGAGTCCAACACCCTGCCGATAGTTAGAATCATTATGACCATCATGACTAGATTCATCAACCGAGTCGACATACATATACCTATATATATATATATATATATAGCTGTACATTTTATGTGACTGACATGCATACAAACGTCTGCAACGATGCAGGCATTGTGACTACGACTTGCGATGCGCGGCCGTGCGATAGGCAGCAGCCTACCTTGAACAACTCCTGCCTGCCTGTCTTCCTTCGAGAGAGTTTTGAATCGCTGCAGGCACGTCGCGTCGGTTCGGTAGCCGAATAACGACGCTATCATCGACCACTTTGCTGCGGGAAACCGACAATCAACAAAGCCTGTAATTATACGAACGGTCACCCACTGTTATCACTAATTACACGGTGGATCTCACACACGATAGCTGAGAGGTGATATCGTTATCTATGTAAATGTCTGCGTTACAATTTCGACAATTTGAGATTACGCCACAGCCGTGAAACATTCACGGATTTGTTGCGCAACAGCACTTACGACGGGGTCACGCATAGAGTTCGCTTTTTCATCTGCCGTGAAGAAATGTACATGTGAATGCCACTGTCGCTGTATATACTCACTTCCATATTTCTGCACTAGCTGGCCACAGAAGTTTGTCTTCATCTTACGGTCCAGCAACCGACCTTTATGTTTTCGTCAAGGCTGGTGATGTACTTAGAGTATCAGGAAATGAAAGGAGGACCTGTGGGCGAGACTATCAGAGGTGGGTACGGAGATCATGTTAAGGGATTGGATGCTGAGGTAATGAGGGTGTGAGATGAAGGGTTGAGGATAGGTGTGGATAAGGGTCTGTCGGTTTAACTGAGTATATTATTATGTGGATGTGTGGGGTAATAAGTGTGGTTGATGTTGGCAAAAGACTTGTCAGGAGGTGCAATGGAT